CCCCCCCCCCCCCCCAGCCCCGGGAGGCAGGGTCGAGGTGCCCCACATTGCTCACGGGCTCCATCTGTCTCTCCCACCCACTCAGGCCTTGGCGGGGCCATCGGCTACGTGCTGGGGGGGCTGGACTGGACCCAGACCTTCTTGGGCGCCTGGTTCCGGACCCAGAACCAGGTGCTCTTCTTCTTCGCGGCCATCATCTTCGTGGTGTCGGTGGCCCTGCACCTGTTCAGCATCGAGGAGGAGCAGTACAGCCCCCAGCAGGAGCGGGGCGGGGAGGTGGCCGACGCCCTGCCCCCCACCGCCCGTGCGAACGTTCTGGATGGCGGCATGGCCCTGTTCCCCGAGGAGGTGCAGTCGGAGCACGAGCTCACGCTGGACTACCTGAGCGTGGACATGGTGCGCAGCAAGAGCGACTCGGTGCTGCACGTGCCGGACGCCGCCCTGGACCTGGAGCCCGAGCTGCCCTTCCTGCCCGACATCGAGCCCTCCCTCTTCCACGACGGCTCGTACCCCGGCACCCCCCGCAGCACCAGCCAGGAGCTCACCCGAGCCAGGCCGCCGCCCCGCCTGGCCTCCCTGCTCGGGGAGACGGCGAAAGAGGACGAGACGCTGCTCGATAATCACTTGAACGAGGCCAAAGTGCCCAATGGCAGCGGCTCGCCGCCGATCGACGGCCCCGTGGGCTACAGCAGGGCGGATGGGAAGCCCGCCGCGGCGGCGGGCTCCACGAGGCGGCGCAGGCACGTGTTCCGGCGGCAGGCCTCCAGCACCTTCTCCTACTACGGCAAGATCGGCTCCCACCGCTACCGCTTCCGGCGGGCCAACGCCGTGGTGCTCATCAAGCCCTCGCGCAGCACGAGCGACCTGTACGAGCTGCAGAAGCGGCAGCGGCAGCGCTGCCGGCGCCGGCACCAGAGCGGGGCCACCACGTCGAGCGGCGACACGGAGAGCGAGGAGGGCGAGGGCGACACCACGGTGCGGCTGCTCTGGCTGTCCATGCTGAAGATGCCCCAGGAGCTGACGCGCCTGTGTCTCTGCCACCTGCTCACCTGGTTCTCCGTCATCGCCGAGGCCGTCTTCTACACCGACTTCATGGGCCAGGTCATCTTCGAAGGGGACCCCAAGGTGAGCGCCCGGGCGCGCGTGCCCGCGGCCGCGGCCG